ATTCGATTATTGTTCTGTTGGAATTTGGTCTTTAAGTTTTGTAAACATTTTTTTCTGATAGTATTTTCACTCTAAGAGCGAAAACTATGGAAGCCGGTTTCCTGCCTACCGGCAACCAGCGCCTATAGGCTTCTACTATAATAATATGTGATAATATCATGCTCTTGAGTTGGCAATAACAGAATAGAGGCAGGCTCAGGCTTGTTGGTGCAGGCAGTCGGCGTTACCGGTTTTGCCGGAACGACTATTTAGTTCTTTCTCGCCGGTTGTTAGAGCAGGTTGATGTGGATAATGGATATAGACAAGTTAGTGAAGACTGTGGAGGTTACACCATTTTTTAGTTAGAAGGTGGCCAACTTTTTCCAGAACATAATTGAATGTTTCACGATTCATTCTGCTGTACTGAAAAAAGCGGTCAGGGTCATCTTTCAATGCCTTGAACAAATGATGTTATTCACGATAATGTACCTTCTCACGATTTATGGGGTGAACACCAACTTTCTTTCTAGTTAGATTATTTTAGTTAGAGAATGCAATAAATTCATCTTCAGATTCACTGAGGCTGGTTTTATTTGCTTTTTTCTCGTCAGCACTGTGTTCATGACCAGCGCCGAAATTCGGTACCGGTCGGCGCTGGTTGCCGGTAAGCCGGAAACCGGCTTCCACTGTGTTTTTGTCCTTACACGTGTTCGTAATTGAACTGAAAACTGAAAACACTAACCAATTTCTCCGACCAATTTTTTACATACGGAATTTTTAAGTATAGTTTTTTGACTTCAGCTTCACTTGTTAATGAAATTCAGGGATTATTTTCAATAGCTCATTTTATATAATGTCTTAACCAAAATAAGTATATTTTAGTTCAATTTTATCATTTCAATTGTTAATTAACGTATTATGTAAATTTAGTGTTTAAATGTTTTTTTGTAAAACCCTGAAGAAGGAAATAAATTTGTCCAAAAATAACAGAAAACTGTACCCAAATCCAATTAATTACAAGAAATCTGCATTATAGTAGGGAAGTCGGTCGTAAATTTTTGTTACATCATCGCGTACTGATATGATACGTTAAAAACTGTCACATTTTACGTATTTTGATGCTGTACAGCAAACTCGACAGGTTTGGCAACATTAGAGTAGTTTTTAACATCTCATTTCATACGGAATGTAACCAAAAAGTTGCGGTCGGCTCTTCGACTATTGCTGGTTTACAAATAAAAAGAGCAATCTATGTGCGGACCACCCAAACCAGGATGGAACACGGTTTTTGGGGGTTAGTCAAAAAATATGAAATAGATAAAAATATCGTCTTAAGACCAGGCTGTCTAGATAACTCACGACCATGTCAAATAGACCAACGATTGGTAAAACAAGCAATTTGAATACGTTCTCTATAAGTGATGATCAATGAATTGAATACCGGATGACACCGTATTTATTTCCGACTAAGTGAGAACAGCCGTGTTTAGACGCCAACAGCTGTTTTGTACATGCCATGTTTTTGGAATCATCTTTTATCTCTCTCAAATTTTATTCGCCTTGCCTACCTGTCTTCTCTGTATAACTACTCTTTGGTAATTCCATATTTTCCAAACTGTGACATCTCACGGAACAATAAAGAATACTTTTTAGCAAGATAAAATTCTCATTGTTATTTTCTAGAAAAATGCGATAGATGAGAGAGTGAACTACACTCGAAGTTTAGACTAAATTTTGCGGTCCAAGAATTTCACTTGAAAGGTCGAAATTCATTGAATAAAATGAGGGTATCAAACTACGACGCCATTTTGTAAGTAAGAAGTAAGAACCGTTTTATAATAAAGTCAAAGGAACTTTATTCATCGTCATAACCTGTATCATAACCTAAAATATCAACATTTTTTTTCATTTTTCAAACCAGCCATAATAAAAATTTAAACATTTGTTAAGTAATGGTACCAGCTTTTGGATCCCGTGGTCAAAGAACGCTGCCATAGTATTTGTATCTTTCAACATGTCATCATTTTCCAAGAGCTTTCCACCACTTTCCTCAAGTTTTGGAAAAAGATGAATGTCTAATGGAGTTAAGCCAACTGTATGGTTGATTATCCAGTATTTCCAAACGAAACTTGTCCAGTTAATCTATGTTCTTGCCACAACGTGAGACCGAGCATTGCCATGAAATAGAATGACGGTGCTAGATAGCAGGCCTAAGATACAGATTTTCGTAGTTAAAGATGAAATGAAGTACCCCAAAAGTACCCAACGATTTTATTTTGCCCCCAAAACATTTTATATATATATACAGGGTGACTTTGAAGTTGAGTCATTAATTTTCAGATAATGATTGTAGAAGGAAGATAAACCAAAATATGCGTGTAAAAATTAAAAAAAATTAAACAAAAATTTTACCTTGTTTTATAAAGTATCCTCCCAACAAGTAGGTATTTCAGTGCGGACCTGTATTTGATCGTGAGGTCTTGTCCCCTGTGAGGTCTTAAGTCACCTGATTCACGAGCCCGTTGTACTACATTAACAAAGGCACGAGGGCTTGGTTGCACTCGATTGGGAAACCGATCCGCATAAACCTGTGCCATTTTTTATTTCGTTTGAGCCACGCAGCAACACCACTATTCACTCACGCGTTAGCGACTGACACAGACTGAATAAAAACATCGTGATCAGCGTTTCAAATTCTTTCGCTTTTTTGTTTCCGATGCGATGAACCGATAAGGCGGATTATATCCGTTGTCGCCAAACACGAGCACATAATAATATTATTATTGAGACAGGGCGGTACTCAAACTTCTAAAGGGCTATAACTTTGTTACTTTAATTTTACCACAAAAATGTTCATACTTTAAACCTGGCCCTCGTATAATGTGAACAAAAGACATATCTTTGGAATACACTATAGATATATTTATCCCACCGCTGTTGTATAGGACTGTATATAAATGTTTTTTATTTGTACATATGCTGTATGTAAGAACTAAGACATCTATAAATTAACTGATACATCTTCTGGGAAAACATAACGCTTCACATGTAATCATACTACGGGCGTATTAACAAAACATTTCATACATAGATCTTAAGAAACGTATTCAGAAAAACTTCAAGAAAACTATCTCTCTGGAAAAACGTCATTGTAAACTACTGTACTTTTTTATTTTTTTTAAGTAATATCCACAGGAAGTTATGTTCGAGGGAAAATATCAAACTGGCATCTGTCTTTAGCTCACACAAAACATTTCTCTTGATATGTGAAAATAATACTCATTTTTTATTTTAAAAATGTTAAATTTTACGTTTATACTCTCATCTGATGTATATGAAAGCTTATTATAAGTGCTGAAAGATATATGGATAAGTGAATAAAAGTTTATGTAAATGACCATAGTCTGAATTATCAATAGGAGTTAACTACAGAATATTCCCCAACGTCCAACAGTACAAATGGCAACTCCTGAAGGGATATGGTTTGACTAGTTTTAATGTCTACTTGCGATGGATGCACCATCTTTTAGTTGATGTGTGAATAATCGATGGATAAAGACATTTCATAGAAAACTTTAAGCTATTCGTCTTCAAATTCGAGGGTCAAGAGATGGCGGTAACGCTGGAAGTTTGAGCTCCATACTCTATACCTATACAGTGGACCCTGAGTAATCCGAATCCTGTCTAATCCGGCGCCCCTGTAATCCAACACGCCTATCACTATGGATTATACATGTGTAAATGATTTCGGCAAATCTTCACTGATTGTAACTTGTACGCGGCACCACTATTTTGCTCGACGCGTATGTTTCAGTTTGAGTTTGACTGAATAGATGAAGCTAGCATTCATTGTTGTTTATCGTGTATCCATTGTGTGTCACAAATACATACCAAGCGCGGATCCGCGGTGGGAGGTCATGACCTACTCCCAAGGCGAATCTAGCTTGGGCACTAGTATTTATGACTTTCGGATCTCTTTGATTAATTCAATAAAATAAAGACATTGAAAATATGTAATGGATACAAACGGGTAAAAAAACTACCAGATTTGAGGGTTGCGTGAGTCTGGTTGCCTATACGTTCAGCTTGACGCAAATATAAATAAAATAATGAGTCTGCATTTTTCGGCATGATACAGCTGCATGTCCGTTGGTGCATTATTGGAAATTGAGCCTTATATGTTCTGTGAATAAGGGAACTAATTGAGAATTCAGACATTCGGACAGGAATATGAAAAAAAAAACGCGCAAATTTTAAAAAATATTTTTTTACGAACAAAATCAAAGTACGAATTTACCCTATTTCACGAGTATCCATCACGCTTTGACGTCTACAGAGGTGAACAGCTGATCAGCAAGTGACATTTTTATGTTAGTCTGACACGTTGGCGATAATGAATCTGATGTAAGTCTAGTAAAACTTGTTTATAGCGTTTTGTTTTTTGTATACAAATGAACTTTTCTAAATAAATAAAAATGCTGTTGGCAAGTACAAAATGAATCTGTAGCGTACAAAAAATCAAAACAAAATACAGCTCTGACTACCTGACGTTGTCGGATCCATCAGAATTATGTGTCGTCTGCCGATGTGGGGAATTTTAAGATATTACTAGATAATCAGCTGTCATTCTACCGTGATGGATACCTACTCGTGAAATAGGGTATACTTCAATTTGATTCAAAGGAGAAAAGGAGATAATAAGTAGTAAGTATCATACTTATTTAACCGTAATACTTTTCAAATCTCGCTCTCTTCGTGTATCAGCTTATAAACCTATAACTTCTTCATATTTTTGACTTAGCATGACTGTATATATTAATCTCTGTGTTATGTACCACGGTTATAATATGGTTTAAGATGACACTCGGGTTGATAAAAAAAGCGCGTATATAATTTCTGATTATTTTTATTATCACTTAATAATCGGTATGTTTTCGTCTGCAACAGTGTATGGAAAGATTAAAAAAGAAACCTTTCATAATATTAATTAGAGAAATGTTTTTTTTTTCAGACAAAACCTTTTTAATGAAAGCTTTGTAGCTATGAAAACTTTCAGTTCTCTAAACTTTTCCGCATGTCAAAGAAAACATTTATTGATTTAGCAGAAATGATACGAAAAAAGATATTAGCAAAACCGTATACAGGTGGACATTATCCAGTGAGTTTATATGGCCATATTTTAATATTCTTGTGGTATATGGCTACACAGGATACTTTGTTAAGCATAGGAACTAGATTTAAAGTGTCCCCAACAACAGTGATGAGTATAACTAATAAGGTGCTCTACTTTATGCTACAACTAAGGTCAGCCTGTATCAAGTTTCCCAAAAATGAAGCTGAAGTACAACAAAAATATCCAATACCCGGCAAAATTCTAACTTGTCACATTTCAAATAATAACCAGAAATATAAAAACTAATCTAGAGTTGGGTAAATACCACAATTTTGCGGTGATAACTATGACATATAACAGCTGATTCATGACGTCACGGATCTTATAACCAAACTGATAACCACACTCGCTTGAACGGATCGGTAAATACAAAACCAAAATGGTAAATATCATTTTCATTTGGTTATTCGCTTGAATTTGATTATTGTCTTAGTTTAGTCATGTACAGGATGTTTTCCAAACATGGGGATTTCAGGAATTCAATGGGTGACACTTGGGACTATTCTGAAACCTTTATATTTGGTCCTCTCGATTTGATAGCACCTCTTGATTCCGGAGAAACAGGCCCCTAAAGCAGACGTCGTTGAAAATAGTTTTTTGTTAAATATATACATACTTTTCACATATCGTGGCTTAAGTTTTAACATCGCGAAACACAAAAAATGTTGCCATCAAGATATGCGTGTCATTCGATAGGGAATCCAAAGATCCACCGTTCTTTCGCTATTTTAAAAAGTCGTCAATTTTGAGTTACGCTGTGTTAGAACTCAAGCGACGATATAACCCAACGAAAACTAGTTCTCCACAGACGGACTAGCCATAAACTCGATATATTGCAAATGTTTTTACACCTTTGTATAATGACTTAAAAATAGTATTTTTGGAAATTATAACGTGGCTGCGGTTGTTTCAATAAATTTATTCATGTTTGATTTCGATAACTGTTTTTATTTGATGAGTTCAAGGGCGCCCACAGGAATTTTTCTCAGGAAGGGAGGCAATCATTGGCAAGAGGTAACTTGATAAATTTTTGTGAAAGCTTACCTTCCCTCAAAACTTTGTAAAGAGCAACGAGTAGCAAATTTTCCTCAGAGAGAATACTCAAAATTGTACACAAATACAATATGCAAATTTTAAGATCCAACTGGATTCTCAGGGATGGTAAGCACACATTTTAATTAGCATTTTGTTGTTGTTTTACATAGTTCACTAAAGTAGAACAAAGTAGCTGTATAACAATATTTTAGGTTAGAAAAGCTTGTCACTTGCGCTTAAAACTGCTCATTAACACGTTCGCGGACAGTACGGCTATAACCGTCATATTGTTTTCCCTAATATAGGACATGGCGGTTATAGCAGTCAGGTCTATTTCTTTTAATAACGGCTTGAACCGTCACAAATTCCATGAACATTGATGGATTAGCCAACTAAATCTGCTGGAACATACGCCAATCAGAAAAATGCCCCGTGAGAGGCGCATATTCAAACACGTGTACAATTTTATGCGTGTCTGTTCTTGTATTGTTTTGACGGCTATAGCCGTTTAAAACTGCATAAGTGCTCATTATATGAAGAATAATTGTCGTTCTGAGAGGTCGCTTTTAGGTTAGTTATTATGTATGTGTGCGAAAAAGAAGGTAAATCGGTGAGTATTTTATATTTTCTATTTCATTTTATTTGTTGTAGACGATTAGGCGTTTGTTAAGACGTTTAAGGTTCAGGATATTTATGATTATCAATTTTAGGCAATGTCCTGGTACGAAAAAAACCAGGCATATCTTCAAAAGCTTCATGATGAGATGCTTGCAGAAAGCGACGCCGACGGCGAAGATGGAGATATGCAACTATTTGAAGACTCAGCTTCGGAGCCGGAGGAATACCGAGACGATGGAACGTTTAATGGAGATCCCGATTTACATGGATAACTACAACAATTCGGTAGTTATCCGAAGATTTATTGAGTCGCAAAACGCACACAACTGGGACACTTCGCAAAAAAAGAAAGGGCAATCCAAAAGCAGAAGTCGATTGTAAGCTAAAAAAGGGAGAGCATGTATGGAGAAGATCTGGGGACATATATGTCTCGAAATGGAGGGATAAGAGGGAGGTGCTTTTTATATCAACTGCCAACAATCCTGCACTAATAGAAGTTCCTAACAAATTTGGCCAACTGAAAATGAAACCCAAAGCAATTGCCGATTACAACGAGAACATGTCGGGCATAGATCGTTGTGACCAAATGGTTCAATACTATTCCTCGCCTCGCAAAACCATACGATGGTATAAGAAAATTTTATTCCATCTGTTGGATCTGTGTCTATGGAACTCTTATTATATTTACAAAAAAATGTACCCCAAGGAGACGTTTCTGAATTTTAGAGATAATATAATTCAGAGTTTGCTTCAACTTCCAGCAAACGTTACTAATGGTGCTGATCTAATAAAAACTAGGACAGGCAGACCAAAGACTGTGTGTTTTGCCTGAAAACTGTTGAACCTGGTCCATCTTATCAACCGTCTAATCAGCACCGAGTAGTATTTCAACATTATCCGGAGAAAATACCTGCACCTGAAGGTTACAAAAGAAAAACTTATTTCCTACGTTGTAAGGAATGCTGGAAGAACAATGTTAGAAAAGAGACTTCTGTTAGATGTAAGGGGTGCCGCGATAAACCTGCATTATGTCCTACATGCTTTGAGAGCAACCATGAAAATAATGAATATTATAAATAAACCAATTGTTTTTTGTTAATCAGGTTATGTATTAAGTTTTTGTTGCTGTTTTTATGTGTATTCCTGATTTTATTCACTTATATTTTCACCGAAATGTGTGCTTTCGTTTGGTTTTCATATACGGGGGTGATTCTCTGTAAAGTCGTAAATCCCGGTCCATGTCTGATATTCAATTGAGTATTGTTATATAAAACATAAAGGATGCTTATACAATAAGTTTAACAATATGCCTTCCTTGTGCGATTGATATAATATTGGTAATAGTTACAGTTTATTTTTTATATGCTCCCAAATATCATGAAACACAGTCCCCTGGGCTGTCCCATTCCTATGATATCCACTTTGTGATATTATTTTCAATGGATTTATGAATGTCATGCTATGTGGCCAATTGTCCTTTGAAAATGAATAAACCAAATTATGACAATTCTGTCAAATGATACTATAATTTAAATTTATCAAGTTTCTAAAATGTGTGTAATTTTGTCCACATTTTTTCCAAACAGTACCCTGTACAAATCTCTAACCTCAAATAAAAGATGTTTGCGCCGGTCTCAAATGATATTCGGCATTAAACGGAACGCACCTATGGTCAAGGTCGCTCCACTGCAGCAAGCGACTGCGCAGCGCCATTTTGGTTAGTATTAGCGCGTCGTTTCTTGTGAGAGCACGTGTCAGGGCCGTTACAGCACACAGTCCTCTGGTAAGTATTAAAGTTTATAATATTCATAATTAACCATATATGTATTATGTATTGCTCCTATAATTCCTGTGTTGAGTGATCAGTTGTCGTGAAATTGAATCCCTAGCAGCTGTTTCGTTGATGTTGAATGATTTAATCGAAATACACAGTCCTCTGGCCTCCAAGATGCCAGGGGACTGTAGCCCATTCCAGGGGACTGCTGATATCAGTTCTCTGTTGATATTTTGCAGTCAACGCTATTATATGTATCGCACTAAACATAAGAATTTTTTACAGATGGCTTCGAAAAGGAAAAAGTTATCCAGAGAAGAAATATTACAGAAAAAGAGGGAAGCTAAACGTTTGAGGTACCAACGAAAAAAGAATGACCCGCAAATGAGGGAAGACATGCGAATAAAGGAGAAGTTGAAATATGAAAGAAAAAAGGAAAAAGGCTTGAGAAAATTAGCCAAAGACATGACTTCACGTGAACATAGGGCTGCCTTAAAAAAGTGGAGGGAGCATTGTGCTGCTTACCGGGCCAAACAAAAGGATGCGACAGTGGCTCTCAATACACCATGTGCAAACATGCTTTCATCTGATCAAGGGAGCCCTTGTTCATCTGCAGGATGCAACACTTCAGTTTCCATTGACTTTCCTAGTAACCAGATCCCTACGGTAACGGCTATCAATTCACATCGAAGAAGGCAAGTCAAAAAGCGGAGAGAAAAAGTGAATAAGGAAAAGGATGAGAAGATAGAAGCTCTAAAGAAAAAAGTAGATAAATATAGGAAAAGAATAACAAGATTACAAAATAGAAGAAAAATAAAGCAGACACACCCAACACTAAAATGCAGAAGATGTTGAATGAACCTGGAGGTAGAAAAGAAGTGGTTAAGAAAGCGTTGTTTAGCGACGTTTTAAATGAATAACTCAAAGAAAATTATTCAAATTTAAAATGTTTTAAAGATAAACAAATATTTACGAAAGTCTTGTCTGGAGTTCGATTACAAAAGTACAGGCGGTGTATACCCAGAGACTGTGGTGTTTTGTATAGAGGTGTTCAGAGTACAAAACGTTACAATACTTTGACCGTGCCTGTGATACGGCGGATAAGAATACCAATAAGGTATTATAAGCAAGCTGTTCGGTCCTTTTTTGAAGATGACAGTAACAGTCGCATAGGAGCTGGGAAAAAATAATACGTTACAAAACAGAATGTGAGAAAGCAAAAGAGATATCTTCTTGATACGATTCTTAATTTATACAAAAAATTTTTGGCAAATAACTTCAAGATTAGTTATCAAACATTCTGTCGGTTGCGTCCATTTTGGGTAGTAAGACCAAGTACACAAAATCGTGACACATGCTTGTGCGTAACTCACAGTAATTTGGACATGAAGTTGCGGGCTCTATATGATGCAAAGATAATTGCCTACAACAACTACCAGAAGTTACTGGAACAGCTATGTTGTGTCCGGTATAATGAAAACTGCTTATCAAGAAGATGCCTTCTTTGCAAAAATAGACTTCCTAAATATAAAGAATTCAACGATAAGAGAATCATAAAATATAAGATGTGGGTCCAAGAAAGACAAGAAATCATAGATTTAAAGACGAAAAAGCCAAAGATAGTGACAAAACACCTGAAAATGGTGTACAATGGACATCCCCGTCAAATAATATCACAATTACACACAGATTTAGAAAAATTCTTTGTACATCAAAGAAATATCATACATCAATACAGTGCTATAAATCATTTAAAACAAAATCTACAAGACGACGATGTCCTTATTCATATCGACTTCAGCGAAAATTATTACACAAAGTATGCTGAAGAGATACAAGCATTTCATTTCGGTGGATCTAGAGCGCAATTGAGCCTGCATACAGTAGTAGTTTATTTAAAAGGTACAATACATTCCTACTGCACGATATCAGATAACATAGCCCACTCACCTGCTGCTATTTGGGTACATCTAGGACCTAGGACCCATTTTTCAATCACTTCCATGTGGCATAAAGCATGTACATTTCTTGAGCGATGGCCCCGTTACGCAATACCGTAACAAAACAATGTTCTTTATGATGGCAACCAAACTACCGCAAGATATTCCAGGTATAGAACAATTCACCTGGAACTATACCGAGAGTGGGCATGGGAAAGGTGCACCAGATGGAGTTGGTCCAACCTGTAAAAGAACTGCCGATTTTGTTGTAAATGCTGGTGGCGATATAAATAATATCGAACAGTTTGTACAATGTATCCAAGAAAGATGCCCAAATATAACTTGCATCACAATCGACAGTCAAGATATTCAGGAAATGTCCAATAAACTTCAACAGGAGGCATTTAAGCAGAAGGGCTTCAAAGGCACGTTAAATGTGCATCAAGTCACAGGGGTCTTTTCTAGCTCCATTTCTGACCTCCCAGCAAACTGTATAACCTTAACAATGAGGAGCCTCAGCTGTTTTTGCAACACAGGCATCTGTGAGCATTTTAAGATAGGTAACATTACTTATGACCTGAATCCAAGATTGAGAGTAGAAGATGTGTTTTCAGAATCGGATTCGGATAGTAATATAAATTTAAGCGAGTATAAGTCAAATATGCCTGTGAATGTCGTCAGTGATGAAGTCGCTGGAACTAGTGGTCGACAGCATTCATGTTATAGCACTGGAGACTACGTTCTTGTTAGATTTTTGGTAAAACATGTGGAGTATCGATATGCTGCCGTGGTTAATAAAGTCGACGAAGAGGAAAATGATTTGCGTGTTACATTTTTAAAGGTTTGTGATGACAAGGTTCAAACCTTTAAAATAGATGAAAGTGACATATCAGATGTATCATTTGACCATGTAGTTCAGAAGTTGGAGAGTCCTGATTTAATACTGAAAGGGAATCGAATATTTTACAAATTTGAGTCTTTGGTGAACGTGTATGAGAGATGATTGTTTCTTTCAAGTTACGAAGTCATCTGGCCGATACTCAGAGAATAGTTTTTTTTTAAGTTTTGTTTGTAAGTTCAGATTTATTTTGTAAACTACAACAATATTGCATATATATGTCGGTAGGGGCATTTTAAATGAATGACGGTGATCTTTTGTGATACTATTTTTATGAGTACAAAACTACAATATACCACATGGTGATGATGTTGAGTTTTTATATTTTCTGGATGTTCCATGCCTGGCTTTCTAATGAACCATCAAACGTATAAAAATGTTAGTTTTTCTATAAAAATTTGTAAGTGAAGTTTTATTTTGTTACTGTACTATCATAATAGTGTTAGTGAAGGTTGTTGAGTTTTTTTTGTGAAACTAGTTTCTTGATCTCATTTGTAGTACAAAATATGAAATGTTATGTGCCTCTTGATGAAACTGAATATTTTTGTATGACGTTATATGTTTTTGTATTCATTTTTACTGTACTACTATTAAGTGGTCATAGAGGTACCACTGATGATGCAAAATAAAGAATATTAAGCACATGCCTACGATTTTTATTAATTTTAAACAGTCCCCTACCTCACTAGGCAGTCCCCTGCCCTGCTTGAAACAGTCCTCTGTTACATATAACAGTCCCCTGCTAAGAACTTTTAGAAAACAGCTAATATCGGAGAAAATAGCTATTTCTTCAATGGGCATTTTCGTGTTTGAGATGTATGTGTCGATTTCGTAGGCCTTAGATGGTGTTTCTTTGATATATATTGCTATAAAATCTCTGGACAGATTTGTATGGTGCGTTGACGAGTTTACAGAGAATCACCCACGGCTATAACCGTCATTTGCAAAATGGATATACTTGAACTATCTATATGCAAATGACGGGTATAACCGTCCTTGAAAAAAATTGCAAAAATGTGTATTTTTATTTTAAAATTGCCCCAAAATAATATATCTACAGTCTAAAACTCAAATATTCTATTTAAATCATTGAATTGAGAAAGTGATTTTGCTGGAACCACGCCTATCCTAAAACTGTCCGCGAACGTGTTAATCAGGAAGGTCCAGAATTCCTAAAAACATTGACTATAGGAGCAGGTTTACTTATGGAGAGTTTCAAATTATTAACTAAACTAACTCTTAACTATATCCATGATCATGTTGGACAACAAGCACTTTATCATCAGCTAAATTTTTAAATAGAATCCTTTTGTCTATTTGCTCAACAAATAGATCTGTAATATGTTCTGGACTTATATGTCTTGTCTTTTTAGCACTGGGTGTCTGAAAAACAGCATTAATTTCTAGGAGCATGTCATGAAGTCGCTGTAAGGCTTGGGCATCTGACGACTGTTCTGCTAATTGTGACAATATCTTAAATTCACGATTGACACATTTTTTCAATTCCTTAATTTTCAAAGTCGTTTCACTATCTGCATCTAAAATATGAAAGAATTTTACTATTGTATCGAAAACTGAATATTATGTGCCTAGATACCTTTAGATTGTGGGTCTTGGCATTTCGTCTTGAAATTTTCATTATCACAGTCATGTCCATAGTGAGTTTTGTGATAAATAACTTTGATTTTATCTGGTTGAGTTTCAAAGTATTTGATTCCACTTATACAGCGAATACCCATATTAATAGGCTTCCCTTTCCTTTTATTTGAGCCTTGTTTAAAGTCGATTCTACCTTCGGAAAAATGGCGTCAAGTAGATTGACTCTCTATACTTTCTATGCCTTCATTGAAGGTTTCAAAGAAAAGGCATGGGTCAAAACGTTTCAATACTACTAATACTTAACACGTTGGATGCCCATCCAATGTGTTAAACGGTAGAAGGTTGTCATAGAGTATGAGCTGGCCTCGAAAGTACCTCAGATATCTCTCAAGAATATTCCTTGTACCTTGACCGTGACAAGTCAAATTTTATTATTTTTGACCAAAAAAAGGTAAATATCTTATTAAAGATGAAATAAATATTCATATGAATGGTGTTCATTAAATAAGCAAACTGAAGTAAAAAATTTAGGACTATTACTTGATGAAGACTTGCATTTCAAAAAAAATATAACCCACTGTATAAGGAGAGCATTCAGCAACCCAAAAGAACATCTATGGCTGCAGAAATATGTTAAATACCAATACCAAAATTTTAATGTCAGATGCTCTTGCACTATCACATTCCAATATCTGTGATATTCTTTACAGCAAATGTATACATAACAATTATGTAAAAAGACGTTACATTTACAACCCCCAGCATCTTCCAACCCGATAAAAACATGTTTCTGAAAATGATTAGACCAATCTGAGAAACTACTTTTCTGAAAATTTCATCAAAATGCGAGAGGTACATCTCAAGTTACAGGCAGTTATAAAACTAGCAAACAGATAGACAAGCCGACCAACAGAAGTGAGTGACAGGGTTTTTCATGATGTGCATGCCATATAATATCCAAAAAACATAATAGCTCAATTTCGAAATTTTTCATCATCACAATATTTCCTCGCGAGTTTAGGCATATGAAGTGAAAAAAGTAAAAGAATTCACAGAAATAAACATGATATTCAAAATAAACAATGCCTTTACCCATATGTTGCTTGATACTCACCACTCCTGCTACAAGTATAATAACAAATAGGAGTAGGTAGTTTTTTGAATGTACGCTAGACAAGCCAACCAACAGAAATGAGTGACAGGGTTTTTCATGATGTACATGCCATATAATATCCAAAAAACATAATAGCTCAATTTCGAAATTTTTCATCATCACAATATTTCCTCACAATTTTAAGCATATGAAGTAAAAAAAAGTAAAAGAATTCACAGAAATAAGCATGATATTCAAAATAAACAATGGCTTTACATATGAATGTTGCTTGATACTCACCACTCCTGCTACAAGTATAATAACAAGTAGGAGTATGTAGTTTTTTGAATGTACGCTGCTTAACATACTGAACATTGTCATGATCCTCTACTGATTTCATCCACTCTAAAAATTCTAAAACACAAATATTACTCTTCTACACTCTACATTTTTTTTTATTTTAGTTTAGAAGGGTGATCCTAAAAGTAGGGTCTCCTATTTTATTAGAAGTACAAAAATATTTATTCTAAATAATTCATACATCATTATGAACCTTAAGTTGTAGCAGTTTTTGAATACATCACCACCTCATCATTGAGGAAGCACTGAACCTTATCTCCCACGACAGACGTGTTTTTTAAACATAGAAAATGCATAGCTCGGCAATTATTGGAAAAATTGCTATTGATGCTTTTTATTAAATGAAAACTACTTTTTGGATTACCCTTGTAAGTACAAGCTAACCATTTCTAGAACTGAAATGCATTTCTTCCTGCTCTATTGGAATATGATGAGTGTTTTCCAAATGATATAACAGTCCACCTCGTCGGTTGAAAGAAAAATTGCAGCCCTCCAAACATTTATAAGAATTTCCATACTCATCACAGACAACAATTTCAGATTCGTGTTTTTCCCTCAAATGTCGATTCAAATTACTTTGCGATGAATAGTTGTTACGGCAAAACGCACAGATATCTAAAAATTGATCACAATCTCAAATAGTCATTTCAAAAAGAAAGAACAATTTATAATATAGTTATTTGGAACTTACGTGAGAAATCCGTAGTCTCATACACTACAGACATTTCTTGTTTGTCTCAATTTTGATTATATGTTAAAAGTGAAAAAAAACTAATGAATAAGCAGTTTTAATTCAAAATTCGTTGGACTCTCTTGAAAAGTTTGTTTTCAAACGATTCCTAACCAAAAAAAGCAGAGTACAGGACAACAAACTCAGAAGCATTGAACTTAGGCACAAAACAGATTTCTCTCGAGTGGGGAAAGCGCGTTTTCTTTTTAAAAAAGGGAGGTAGTAATTGAAAAAAGTTAAGCTACGCCTTTTTTTCGACTTAGCACAGAGCAACAATTGACGAAGAAGAGAAAGGTCTTTGATTTTGGCAAACCTATATGTAGGCTATCTGTGACGATTTAATAGACGATTTTAAAAAAGTGTACGGTCTACGGTAGTTTCCGTCTTGTTGAAAAATAGGTTGATGTAATATTATCGCCGTTCACAGACTTTGTCACCATCAATCATTTGATTAACAGAAATGACCAGTTTTGCAGCAAATTATGGTATATATTTATCAGAAAGGATACAAAAATTCTAACCAAAAGCGGGCAAGAGTGCTCTAGCATTTGGGACACCTTTGAAATTACGCAACCTTGGTACTATTTTTACGTGAAATGTATTTAAAACGCCCTTGATATTTGACCACGCGCCCACAGATGCGTAATCAAGTGCATGCGCAACCGCAAATGCGCAAAGTTGAGAATCCCGTGAGGTGCCACCACTGCCACTTGCTGGGTTTGTCTCCCACCTTTCAACCTTTTTTAATTGGCCCGGCCATTATTTGAGACGGTAAGTACTTTTTTCCTTAATTTACATGATTTCTCTTCTCAAAAAGACGTAAAAATCAATCGAAGTTTGTTCTGTGAAAATTTGTTTTTTTTTTAGTGCATATTTCAGTGCAAAGTATACCTAGTTGTCAAAATATAATCTGGACTTATGTAACACATGTAATAGCATTTTGTAACAGTTTTCAGGTGTATTGCTTACTTTTAACACATATATTGTACAAATTAAGCTTATTTATTCATACTTTTTTCATTTCTCCGTTTCTATAATATGCCCTATAGACATGAAAAAGCTTGATTTGCACTTAAAAACTGCAATCTGTCAAAAAATCCAGAATGCTTGAAGGTTAAATTTAAATCTAACATTCTCAGAATCAATTAATCTTTTTAGATAAATTCAATCAAAATAAATTTTTGCAATTTACAAATCCAAATTCAAAATTTTTTATCGATTTTGACTTTTGACTACGTCAAAGTCACATGTCACCCTTGGAGGTTATCACGCCTAGGTTAATAAAAATCGATCTTTTTGGCGACATTTTTAACTAAAATTCCGCATTTTCCAGACCGAATTCAAAAATAGCAGCTATGTTCTCGTCGTTGCTCACCAAAACCTTATGTCAGCCGGCAGAAAACCAGTCTGTCCCCACACAACAGTGTGAGGTACCCCAAAGAGGCTTAGTGCAGTCCCTGGTGGCAGGGAGACAAATTGCCGCAGCTGCTGTACAACCTGGAGACAGCTGTGAATTCGCGTCACTGCATTACTTCGCTCTTTGTGGACTTGGAGGTAAGTTAATGACAAAATATCACATTCAAACGCTATTCATTGTTTGAGGTTGCTCTGTGTTTAAGCAGTTTTACAAAACCTACTATCAGCAAATATATTTTGTTACTGGGCCTATTAATACTGATCATTGTATTTTAACAATTGAAGACACAAATGGACAAAATCATTGTGTGGAGAAAATTGACTTTCAACATTTTTTATTGGGAAATTTCACTTTATTGACATTTTAAGAATTTAGCTTAGTTTATTATTATCTTCTTTTTGCAACAAAGTAATCACAGAATGAAATAATCACTCCTTAAGGTTAGTTTACTGCAACAAAATTTTTTTCTAAAATGTTACATGACCCCTTTATCTACTTGTGACTTCAATCATTACAAATAGGTTCTAAGTGCTTTTTAGTTGTTCAGTCCGTCAAGATTATCTTGGATGTTATTCAAAGTTGTATATGCTTATATTATACTGACGTATTTTAAGCATAAGGCTACTTCTTATTTTGTATAATTGAAAAATAGTGTTAACTAGGTTCACTATAAATATTAAAGTCACAGGATTTCCTGGAATTTGAAGGTTTGAAAAGATTCATCTAATGGTGAACTTCAAGCTCATTTGAAGGTCAAGATAGTTTCTTAAATGGAACCCCTATCATAAAATAAAAACAGCAAGAAACTTATAATAATTTTATAGTAAGGTGACCAAACAGAACAAGCATACTCCAAAATGGATCTTACGATTGCGCAGTATGCTTCTTTTGAAGAAAAAATGTTTTTAAAATTGTTCAATGTTCAAACAACAATAGTTTTCATTGCCTTATTATACATTCAATGTGATTTTTAAAAGAAAGATTATGATCCATAACAACCCGGAGGAGCTTTATTAACTTTTTCCATGACTACAGATTCAAGTTGATAGTTGAAATAAATTAATTCAAATATTTGCAGATGATTCATTGATATATACATATACATAAAAATTTGGACACTGCTTTAGAACTGTTAAATAGTGATGTGAAAAAAATTATGAGTTGGTTAAATGTTAATAAACGTAAATTAAACACCAGTAAAACAAAATGTATGTCATAGGGAAACATCTAGGTGACAATAGAATTAGGATCTTGATTAATGATGGAAAAATTGAAGTAGTAACACACACATAATTATTCTTACCCATTTTTTGTATTGTTCAACCATCTTGTTTACAGCAAATGAACACATATTTTTAAAATTACAAATTCTACAAAATAAGAAATCATTTTAAATAACAACAAATATGCTACTATGTTAGAAAAACAACAGTGGTTGAATGTAAAAAATTTCATATATATTATTTAGTTCTCGTTTTCATATTCAAATTTTAAAATCACTTATTACAACCACATTTTGAAAAATTCTAAAATTAAATAGTCATTATCATAACTATGAAACTAGAGGCAGTATTGATTTTCATCTGCAAAATTCTAATAGTATCATAACTAGCAAATATGTATTTCAAAAGCGGTATTTGAATATAATGAATTGAAAGATGATATTAAATAGTGTTTGAATTTAAAAGATGAAATCAAAAAATCACTTTATGAATACTCAAAATGCATAGTGATGTAATTTTAATAGACAAGATTGTAAAATTGCAGAAAACTGGATTCAAAAAAATGTGTAAACCGATAATTAATGCTAAATAAATCCAACAAACAAACAAATGTACCCTATAAAAACTCATAAACTTACACTTGCTTATATTCAATTGCATTTCGTTCAAATTGCATCAGTGAATAAATCTATCAATTTCAAGTATGTCCATGACCTTGCCTAAGGCAACCAAGATTATTTGAAGATCAAATGAAGTTTTAGCTGCTGATTTGGTCTAGGTTAATAACATTTCTTCTTTCAGGTATTCTATCTTGTGGTATTACACACACAGCAGTGGTACCACTTGACTTGGTTAAATGTCGTCTCCAAGTAGATCCTGCCAAGTACAAGAATGTAGTGAATGGTTTTAAGGTTACCTTAAGGGAAGATGGTGCTAGGGGTCTTGCCAAGGGATGGGCACCTACCTTCTTCGGATATTCCATGCAAGGTCTTTGCAAGTTTGGTCTCTATGAAGTCTTCAAGGTAAGTAACTCAATGCAATTTGAGTTGATTTATTTCAAAACATTGTTTTATAATCATTTGCTATAGAAATGTTAAAATTAGTTATGTATTTCTATTACACCATTGAGAGAAATAATGAGATAAAATTGTAATGCAGATATAAAATACAGAAAAATTGATTTTGCAAATGTGATATCTAAACAGTGAGGCAGAAGTTCTGTTTATTTTATCTTGTGACATTGATTCTAACTGCATTTCGACGATAGTTTACCAAGGTCTTCTATTGACCCCATTGCTTTTATTAGAACATTAAAATGTTTACCAACATAGAGGAGATAAGATAACTGACTCGGCATAGTAATATAGTGTAGTTGTATTGTAGACACTTTTTGGAACAGAGTTACATATTGAAAATTTATTATAACTATTCAGACTTGGAGAACTGCCAAGTATTTTGTATTATGTAGCATGTTATTATTATTGAACTCATTTCATTTTCTATGCATATGATTGGCAGTAGTCCTAAAGTACCTCAAATCAGAAATTTTGTTATGATATTGATTTGTTTAGAATAATAAAATTCAAATTGAAATGAACGAAAATCTCCATAACAGTCATGGAACCAAAAATGGGGTATATATTGAACCAACAGGGACCTGATTCTAGCACCAAATTAACAACCAATTCGAAATCTATACATCTGGTTTATCTGGGTAACAAGTTTTTGTCTAGATCACAAATAGATGAGTGATTTGGAAGTGATATGGTGCCATATACCCTACAAAATTTCCATATTCATCCCTTGTAGTATTTATAAACCTAGACCATGCCCAACAGCTGCCCATGGTTGTCTATCTTTGGTCAGATAGAGGAAAGAAGAGCATGTTTATTTTATTCTAAATTGAAACAAGACTACATTTATAATTTTTTATGATTACTGGGAGTGAGAATGATTGGCTAGAATACACAAGATAAAGAAACCAGTGGGTAGCAGTTTACAAGGTGATAAGGAAAAATAATATCAAACAGATGTGGAAAACATTGAAAAGCATTGTATCTCCTATTAGAAGAAATTCATCATCTAACGTAAAGTTCAACAATGGGGTAATGAAAAATGAAAAAATAATAGATTAAATGAAGCCAATTATTGACGGGGATCTCAATGGGGATCAACATTATATGAAGATTAAAATAAGTGAGAGATTTTGCCTAAGATGGTACTTAATGAAATTTTTCATATTATTGGAGCAAGAATATTAATCCAGATAAAGCACTGTTTAAAGTATGGCGAATTTTCTACAAAATCAAAGGGAATTATGGTATTCCCGTTTCGAAAGTCAATAATTCTGAGTTGTACGTCAAAATAGAATTTTAACCAAATTTCAAGATAAATTGAGGAAGAAACACTCAACCACAATACAAATGGTTTTAGAGGACTGGAGTATGGACTATAGGAAGCATACAATGACAGTGTTTTTGGACCTCAAACGGGCATTTAAAACTATTGACAGGGATAAAATTGCATCACTATGGACTTAAAGGATCTGTATTCAAAATTCTACAAAACTACTAAATTGATATAAATCAAAAATCCATAATTAGATGTACATTATCACACTCAAATAATATTTCTGTTGGTGTACCACAAGGTAGTAGTAAACTAGGTCCACTAGTTTTTACTTTATACATTAATGAGATTTGTTATATTTTAGTTTATTGTAAAATTCAGATATTTACAGATGACACATTAAAATGAGGATAATATAGAATAAAAATAAGTACACCAAAATAAAATCATTGTTACAAGAACTGAAGTGGTTGAATGTAAAAAATTTCATACGTTTGGTTCTTATTTTTATATTTAAAATAAAAAATCATCTTTTGCCACAATGTAGAATTGAATAATCATTACCACAATTATTATATATAAGAGAAAATATAGATTTAAATTTACTAAGTTACAATAGTAACATAAATACCAAATCAATATTTCAGAAAGGATTACTTGAATTTAATAAACTAAATAATGATATAAAGACTACTTGTAATTTAAAGGTGCTTAAAAGGAAATTAAAGGAATATTTCATGGATAGTGAAAATTATTAGAGATGACAGTTTTGTTTTCCTAAGTATCTGTTTGTTATATAATTGTATGTAATTGTAGCAATCACGCTAAAATCTTAAACAAACAAACAATGGTCTATTATAAAACTTTCAAATAATGATGTAACATTTAATGGTGAAGATCACAATATTCGTCACAGTATTTGCACTTAAAAATTCCTTAAAGATATTCTGTTAACAGTTGTAACATTCGGTACAAATTCTTTTCTAGGTACTGTACAGTGACATCCTAGGTGAAGATAACTCATATCTGTACAGAACATGGTTATACCTTGCTGCCTCTGCATCTGCAGAGTTCTTTGCTGATATTGCTTTGTCTCCTATGGAGGCGGCCAAAGTGAAAATCCAGACCACTCCAGGATTCGCGAATACTCTCAGAGAGGCCTGGCCGAGAATTATGCGTGAAGAAGGTAAAAAAAACCTCAGGCACTTTGTGTAATATGTTACACTATTTTGTATACGAGGTATGACAGAAGAGTAATGCGAATGCTTTTCTGTTCACCAAAGTTTTTGTATTTCTATTCTATATCAAAATCACTATCATCCCGTTCAAAGTAGTTGCTTTGGGCAGGCAGTTTACCATTTTTTTTTCTTATTAGCTTAAATGAAATAAGGTGGCGAAATTATTAATTTATCTCTAAATACAAAAAAGTTACAGCCTATCAAAGTTGCGCTCCGCTAGAATATTTTTATTCCGTCTGAACGCGACGCGTGACGTCACACTTCGCTATCCAGTTAATAATAATAAATCTTTATTTCAAAATAACAGAAGATTTATATTTCTATTTCTTGTGTTATAGTCACTTCGTGGGTTACCGATAAAATTGTTAATATTTTTAAATGTAAAGATTAGAATCTCTTGAATATATATTGCGGCTACAGTTAAAATTTTATTAGTCTTAAATTTTCCTGTGCAAGTCTCTCTAGAGGAAATTTTTAGGATGCATCTCAGCACTCGCTTTTGCACTAGAAAGATCCTATTGGTATGGCTAAAAAAATTATTCCAAAACGTACAATGGATTCAAAATTCGCGTAATATACCATTTTTAGAGTATTGAGGTCTAGGTACTTGCTTAGTACTCTAATACTATAACATGCGTTGTTTAACCTTTTTTCTAGATGTTCTATATGTTTAGTCCAGGAAAGTGCTTGGTCAATATGAACTCCCAAGAATTTTCCACAATCTTCTGCTAAGGTGATGTTTGTAGCTTCGATTTTTTTTCTTAACTTAAAAACGATCGCATTTGTTTTTGAGGTATTCAGAGATAATCCATTACGAGCAAACCAGCTAAATGGTTGAAATCTTGGCCAGCGTATTGGATCGTGCATACTTTATTTGGGCTTGTAATACTAGCACACAGATCGTTCACAAAAATCAAAAAGAGGAGAGGCCCTAAGACGCTACCTTATGGAATACCTCTTTCTACCGTTAACTGTGATGAAACGGCTGATATTTCATTCTTTGTAATGAAAACTCTTTGCTTACGATCTGTCAGATGCCACGGCCCTGGCCAACTCAATTTCCTAAACACACTAATAGGTACACATACTGCGGGAACACGCGCCAATTTGTTTAATTAGTTGACTGTATATACGATTTATAAGCGAGTAACCAATACATAGGTTACTTCAAATTTCGACTTCGAATGCGTTTTTGTTATTTCAGATTGAGAATGATACTGGAAATCTGATGAAATATAAACTAGTCGGTGGAAGATTGAAGCTGAAAGTCGGAGTAAACCCATGTAACTCGTAAGTTTGACTGCCAAAAAGGTGTGCAGCGTTTGAGGAATGCGGAGCACCTCAAGTTGGCAACCATTCGAATTAATTCAGTGTGACTCGACGAAAAATCGAAGGCATTAGAAGATCCACTGCTTGAAGATTATACTGTATCTGTAACAGGTGATCAGCCATTACTTGGGTCTTATTAAGTTGTCTTCGTTTACATTCATTATTGAGTCTTTCGAAGAAGTTGGGATCCTCTACAACATCTAAATATGAAAAACTTCCACTTTCGTTATTGAAATCTTTCGCTTTAATAAACATAATACCACTGTCAACTTTAGATAGCGCCGGTTTCATCCAGTAACACTTTCCTGAAGTATTTAGGTTCCTCACTTCTTTTCAAAAGTCAGATCAAAGAGGTTTTTGTGTTTACATCCACCAAGCTTAGCAGCCCAATTAAGACGCACAACAGTTTCAATTTTTTCCTAACATTGGTCACAGACCAATGTACAGTAAGGCGTAGTTTTCACTTTATGTGCAGGTGTAACTCTGCATTTTACAATGCATTTAGTACCTTCACGTTTCAACTGAACATAACTAATAGCATCCTCACTATACGAATATCTACTTGCCCTGGAAAATATCGTGTCACATTCGCAAATCTGTACTTATTTCCGCGCTTGTATATGATGGTTTTGAAGAAGTAAATTACATCACTGCATAACTGTCAATTTTGGGCAAATTGTCACTTGTCCCTTTTACAAATCCGGCTTCCATAATTGTACGAACTTACGCAGTACTCAATAGTTGTCAACTAGAAACCACGTGGCCGAGCGCACAGGTGTGTCTTATGAATTGTCTATAGACTAATAATTACTAAACACTGTCAGCACGCTTGGCTTTAGCGAAGTGTGACGTCAGGCGCGAGCTGACGGCAGCAATGATTTCGAGATATAATGCGCCAACTTTAAGTATTAATTTATCTGTCATTAATTGACCGATTTCAATAATTTGTTCACTGGTTGATTATATTTCATCTGTATTTTGCTGGTATGTCATTACTTATGCGATTCTGAACATCACCAAACTTCTCCATTCTGCTTCTGCCCAATTGTTGGGTTTTTCGCCACAATTTTAGCATAGATATTCATTCGTTGAACGGTAAAACTGTTCAAATTGAATATGACTCTGTTCCCGTGTTTCGTTGCATTATGTGAGTAATACGAGGTATGTTCAAAAAGTATTGAACCTTTGGTTGGCATACATATATTTATTGATTTGGAGGTCTGAAACTTTAATCCCCTTGAAAGTAGTCTCCTTGGTGATGCACACACTTCTCCCAGTGCTTCTGCCAATTTTGGAAACACTCCTGGAATGCAGTTTTTGGAATCTTGCTTAGCCGGTCCGTCGCATTCCGCATGTTGTCTTGACTCAAATCGGGTCCATTTCAGCGGCATTTTCAGCTTAGGAGATAGCCAAAAGTCACATGGAGACATGTCGGGTGAGGAGAGAGCCTGACGAACAACTGGAAAGTTGTGTTTGGCTAAGAAAGTTTGAATGACATGCGAAGAATGAGCGGATGCGTTGTCGTGATGGAGCTGCCAAGATTTTGCTGCCCGCACCAGTCGTTTGCGTCGCATAGCATCACGAAGGCGGCAAAGGACCTCCTGGTAGCACTGCTTTGTGATGGTTTGGCCTTGTGGTGCATACTCATGATGCACCACACCACGGGAATCAAAGAATACGGTCATGATGCTAGCGTGTTTTTTTTTGCCTCTGGGATGACGAATGTTTCCAGTGTGACGACTGCATCTTCGTTTCTGGGTCATACCCATAAACCCATGACTCATCGCCTGTGATCACGGTGTTCAGAAAGTTGGGTTTACTGTTTGCATTATCAAGCATGTCATGTGCGATGTCCATATGGCATTGCTTCTGCTCCATTGTTAGCAGCTTCGGTACAAATTTGGCAGACACTCTTCCCATGTCCAAATCCTCGATCAGAATTGAATGTGCCGATCCAATGCTTACCCCTATCTCCGTTGCAATTTCTCTTATTGCGATACGACGATTCTGCATGATCACAGTCCGCATTTGTCCAATAACACTGCCATTTCGGCTTGTTGAGCCTCTGCATGAACGTGGTTCGCTGTCCACTGATGTGCGAACATCTTTGAAGCGGTTGTACCACCCATTTATCCGTTAGGTACTCATGGCATCGTTCCGAGAGCCTGTTGAATCTTGCAAATGGTTTCCACTTGGGTATCACAAAAATTGTATCAAAATTTGATGCAATATCGCAGCTCAAGTTTTTCTGTCATTTTGCGAAAATGGAAATCCGAAGGCTGCTCTCTACACGTCTTCACACGTAGGCCGACTTCCAGCAACTGACGCTATCTGCGGGCGGGAAAAAATTTCGAGGTACACGTGAATCTCCCGTCCACATCTCCACCAAAGGAAGTCTCCCGCGCTTCATTGGTTTACGCGGGAACAGTTAAGGTTCGATACTGTTTGAACAGATCTCGTATACTCTGTAGGAATTTGAGAAATTTTTCGCAATAAAATCGGTAGCACCGAAAAATCGGTAGACCTGGCAACACTGCCTATGGAGAACAACCGATCGTTGCCAGATCACTTGCAGTGTTGCCAGTTTCATTACTTTTCTGCCACGCCACGTATTTCCATGTTTGAGCCACATTCCATCCTGAAGATTGACTCCAGCCAGTATGGATGGTGCCTGCCTTGAAAATACATGAGACATAAGAAAAAAAAACTGCTGTGAATTGTCGTTTCAAGTGATGGAACAAACTAATGATAATCTTGGATACTGAATCTAGATATGACCTAAAATTTGTTTTACAGGTATAAATGGTTTCTACAAATCCCTGGTTCCGCTGTGGATGAGGCAGATCCCGTACACCATGATGAAATTCGCCTGCTTTGAAAAGACAATTGAACTGTTGTACAAATATGTTGTACCAAAACCTAGGGCGGAATGCAGTAAGGGTGAACAGTTGATCGTCACATTTGCTGCAGGTAGACACAATATTCATTCTATCATTTTCTGCGTCTAGTTTTACTAAATTTTGTGTTGAAAAAAAGGCGAAAATTTTTATGCATACATAAACTTTCCATACTTTCCAATAATATTTATACATAATTGCCCAACAGATTAAAGGCAGTCTGTCATGATACATAATTTTGTACATAATTTGGAACAAAACTTTGTGAGAAAATACGTTACTGAATTTATTTCCCAATTTATTTACAAATTACAATCCAGTCTGTCACGTAAATACCTTTTTGTAATAAATTTCGTACGAAATCATACGCAGTCGGTAGAAAAAACTATAACTGTCAGCTTCTAACTGCCATTTACCACGTCAAAGTCATACTAACCACACTTTTCGTTACATTTTGATATTTTATTACTTTAAACGAATAGACAATTGTAGAAAATGGAGCGATCTCATAATTCGCATATATTATAAGCGACTGCAGGACCAGCGTTGCAGCTGCCCACTTCATGAAAGACGATAATGAATCAGGGAGAGGGACTGGGGAATGGGTGTGCTCCAGATACTGAATAAAGGATCTCTAGTGGAGGATTCACTGGCTTGTAGGCCTAATTGATTCTAATTCATTCTGATTTTATCTAACGCAGCTTATTTGGCGTTTCTGTTTTTATAGCCATTGCTTTTTACAGCATCTAAACAATCATATTTTTCATACTCGTTTAGTAGTATGTCACAGTGCTCCTTTGACGATAACATCTTTTAAGTTTTTCAATCTACAAGTATAAGCAGGGGACTTTCGCGAAACTGATGGAGACAACTGATCACAACTGATGAAAGTGCTTGAGGTTAGGCTTGTTTTTGTCAACCAATTATCATCTCAACTAATCATCACAAAACATCAAGATAATATCAAGGAGTTAACACAAAACATGTAATTTCTTGTCACATAGTGCGTCTATTAGCCAGTGTACTTCTCCAAATGCGCAGTAGGCGTCTGCTGAGTTTTAGAACAGGTATAAAAAATTTAGCACTCAATTTGTTCATACAAAATTATGTGCTAAATGCTGTCTGACACTATCTTTTGTCCGAAATTTAGCGTACTAAATTAAGCATAAAATTTCGTATCGTGACAGACGGCCTTAATTAATCCAGTGGTAACTTAACTAATAATGGGCATACAAGAACCACTTAAAATGGACATTAACAAAAAATTAGCTATTGTAATAGTGCCTGAACTTTGACAAAATGTTACTGATACAAACGAAATTAATGTCAAAGCTGTGAATTATAATTATTGCATATAGAATATAGTGATGTTTTTGTACATTTTAAATGTTACATCTATGTGGACAAAACCAGCTTTACGTTGATAATAGATCCATGGATTCCTAGATAGATTTCAAACAGGTAAAACAGGAATTTGACGTCAAATAAATTAATTAACTCCTTCGTGGATTTGTTTACGTAATTAGAAATTGTTTTATATTTTTTTAAATCTGTGGTGCCAACCTTAGTACAGTGGGTTCTGTTTGTAAGATTCACCTCAAGATCAAAGCCACAAAAACTCAAAATGGTTCTAGCAAGAATTTGTTGCATGTATAATCCATGAATTTGTTCATTGTTCAGAACATAATCGGGATGGCCTAGGCCTAGAAGAAATCCATCTGAATAAATTCATGAAGAAATTGTTGACGTAAAATGGGTATAAAGTAGGATTAAGGAATTAGAAATCACTCGGAATGCAGGGACGTGTCATCGAAAATTGGAACGACCACGTTATCCGAAGTACTGCCAAAATTTTGGAAAATAATTTACGCCTGTTTTTTTTTACCATAAAGTTAACCCGACACTGTTTATTGTTTTTACCTTTTTATGCCGTTCACTCTATTTTTTTACTGATGATTTTTACCTAAATAAATAAATAAATTTGAAGGATAATAGAATAATAATAATGTTTATTGGTCTATCTACAAAGTTTTAGGATAAATAATAACAGTACTGTACAAATTTGGTGTAAAGATTGTGGGATACCATTTATTTTCATTCAAAATCACCTTCAAAATCCACGTCTGCGTAATTTCAATTTCTCTATAATAATTGAGATAGTAACCATTGAACAAGGACATGATCATGTGTAGATATTTTTCGCTCAAAAAACTGCTGAAATAATGTTTGATTATCGGATTTTCGTATTTCTATGAATTTTCAAGGTGTATGGAATATCTTAGATGGTTATCTATACCGCTAAATATTTTAAATTATCAACTGATTGTATGTTTTTACAGTTGTTCATCTTTTTAATTTTGAGCTGAGTAAATTGAGGGAAGTTCTGTTGTTGAAAAAATGTTTAACGTTAATTAATTGACGTATCGTCTGCCATTAATTTCTCCATCGTTTTCGACTTGGAAAGGTCATTAATATGCAAATTAAACGGGATTGGTCCTAATACAGTTCCTTGTGGAACCCCGCATCTAACTGCAATGTTTTTGCTTAGTGTATATATATTTTTTGCGTTTTGTTTTTTAGGTTACATCGCTGGTGTATTCTGCGCCATCGTATCCCATCCTGCTGATACCGTTGTGAGCAAATTGAACCAAGAGAAGGGATCAACAGCGATGGAAGCCGCTAAGAAGCTTGGAATGGCCGGATTGTGGAAAGGTCTCATGCCCAGGATCGTTATGATCGGTACACTTACCGCCCTTCAGTGGTTCATCTACGACGCGTTCAAGGTAGGCATTTGTTAATAGACACATTGCGATTTAAATTTGGCGCCAATTTTCCACGAGACTTAGGCATTTCGTAGGACACACAGGTCTAGAGGGATGAC